GTACCTGAGGGTTTTCTCCTTTAACCTGAATAATCGGAGGTTTTGGATTTTACTAAGATCTCTATCTCCGAATAATCCTTTTAATGGTTCATGATCTGTAACCACTATGAGATTCGGGGAACCCATTACAAAAATTGCTGCTGCCTCGCCTTCAATAGGTGCATATCTGCGTTCAGCATCAATGCAGAATCTGCTACCAGCAAATATCAGGCGCCAACCTTCAGGGCAGCAAACTGGGGCTTTGTCGGTGGTGCATGAGCAATACTTCTGTAGAAGTAGAAAGCCCATTCCGTCTTTGCTCCAATCTGGGGCGAGGCAGGTTATTCGTTCTTTTTCAAATGTTGCAATGCCTTTTCGAACTAAGTCAACTATGACCTTCTTTGAATGCTGGAATGCATCCTCAAGGCTTTTATTCTATATAAAGTGTGAGTCTCGTTTTACGAGATCACGGAATGGAAGCATGACTGGGATCAGTGAGTATGCCCAAGCGACTTGGTTGACCAGACCAAACCATGATCTGGCATCGGTAAGTGTTTTTGGTATTGGGAAGCTTAATATCGCCTCCAGCATGGATTTAGAAGGGGTTTAGACCAGAGGATGTTATCTGGAGGCCCCCAAACTGCACAGTGTCTTGGCAAAATTGGAACTTTTCTCTATTGAGTACGATACCGTTTTTTGCGCAATGGAAGAGGAAATCGAAGGTGTGAAAGAAGGCTCCTTCGATGTCAGAGTCATAGAGTAGGGTGTCATCTACGATTTTTACTTTGCGGGGAATGTCTTTTATTACTTCATCATACCTTCGGGTGTAGGCAACGCCAGATGCTAGGTAACCTTGTGGCATCCTCAGGTACATGAACCTTCCCCATTCTGTGATGAAGGTGGTGAGTGGCTGGGACTCTTTATCTAAGGGGATGGAGTGATATCCATCAACAGCATCCAACACCGTTTTCTTTTGTTTAGGTGGCACTTGTAGTGCTAGCTGGAATGGTAACCCTGTATGGTGTGTTTCCCGTTTGCACTTGAATTCAAGTGTTGGTAGTCTATGGTTCTTCGTGGTTTGCAATTTTTCTTGGCGGTAATTACCATAGTGCTACACCAATCAGTGGGCATGCCGACGGGTACTGGGGTTATGATACCCCTTTTCACATCTTTCCAAAGGGCCTGCCTTACGGGCTCTTTGAATTGAAAAGGCACATGAATTGGGTTATGTCTGGCTTTGGGGACTGCTCCTTCTTTGAGGTGTATATGAGCAGTGGGGCCAGACATTGGTGGGAATTCACCATTATTTTTGAACGCCGTTTCGGCGAATTGATTTAATAGCCAATTCTTGAGCCTATCAATGTTTTGTTCTGTTGGGGGAAAAGGGAGTTTTTGGGGCGCATTGAAGTTGTCCTCGACTTTGCATTGTTTAGGGCTCGCGTCCGATTTTTTATGTGTGCTTGTCGAGGGCATGTGTTGCATTGTTGTTTGGGGTAATATTGTAGTTGTTGGCTTCGGGAAGTCTTTGGACAGTATCCCTACATCAATGCAGGCTGCTTTGCTGAAGTATAGCCGCTGAATCTTTTTGCATATGTATAGGGCTTGTTTAGTTGTTCTTCCTTGGACGATGAATTCCACGGGGAGCCAAGCCTGACATACAAGCGTAAAGCCTCCCACAGCTCGGACGACTTTTTTTGATGGAATGAGGTTGTTGGTAGTGAGCCCCATATTCAGAAGGTGCTTAAGTCCTCCGAGACATATGGTGGTCCCACTGTCAGGAAAGATCGTCATCCTAGTGCTGTGATTTCTGGGGATATTCTTAACTTGTCTGGGATCCGGTTTTGGCGAGAATGGAACAACATATGCATCAATTTCCCTTACCTGGCCTGTGTCTTTAGATGTATACGTGCCCGTCGTTTGATTGAATGTAATGTGGGCGATAAGTGTCCATGGCGGCTTCATTAGCCTCTGGGCTTTTCCTTACTGCTTGAGCCAGTTTCTTAGCCCGGCATACCCTCGATAGGTGATTGGGCTTCCCACACTTACTACATGTTTGTCCCCATGCTGGGCATTTTAGCCGGCGGGATCCAGTTCCTGAGGTGCCGTACTGGTGGCTGCCACAACCTAAGTAAGCCTGGTGGTTTGGTTTAACATTGCAGTTGCAATAGGTGCTGGTACGGATCCCCTCGTTGGCTTGTGGCGTACCCTTCTGTCTGCGGTATGTTGATAGCCGAGTAGCGGCTGTATCTGAAGCGCCAGCCATTGAGGTTTGGTCTCGCAATGCTGATTCAAATGCCTCAGCATGACGGATATTTTGCTCAAGGGATTTAATTGCCCCAGCTTTGGCCAGTAGGTCAGCCTGGAGTGTGTCATTTGCTATTCCACGGATAATCTGGTCCTTGATGTATATATCAGACGGGTCATGCTCACACGAGGGGCAGGTAAAGTTACAATCAACAGCTACGGCTCTGAGGCGGACAAGGTAACTTTGTATTGGCTCATCCGCATCCTGAGACATGGAGGCAAAAGCAAGGCGATGGACAATAGGACTTGACCTCTGGGTGACCAACACTTCTACCATGTCAAGTAGCTTATCTGGATCAGTGGTAAAGAAGTTAGGGTGTGTGTTGATTATGGCGTTTTGCACAGTCTCATCAGCACAATTGTATAGGTGAATATTAGCTTGGGAGCTTGGCATATTTGTCATCTTGGTAAAGACATCCCAGTCAATTCGGAACTTCCTGAATTGTTGTGGTGTCATCTCGAGATTGAGATGGGGAGGCTTGGCTGCTAGTGCCTGAATGCGGGTTGTCTGGGTGGTGGCTTCCTTAGCCTGCTTGATGATACACAGGGCTTCTCCCATTAATGCAACTCCGAGCTCCCTAAGCATGGATCGAACCAGCATTTGAAGGCTCTCGATTGTCAGTTTCTCGTCTGCAAACCTTGTTGCATGAGTTTTGGCCTAGTCAGTGGATAGGCCTGATTCAATGAAGAAGAGTTCCCAATATTCAGGTGTCATATATCCTGTTCGCATCGCCATGTAGAAAAATCAGGTGGTAGAGATAAACACTCAGTTGTGGAGCAAGATAATTGAATAATAATCCAACCTTTAGAAAGAGAGCTATTTATGTTGCCATGGAGCATCTCATTGTGCTAAAGTGGGATAGTCCATTGCTTGGGCTGTGATTGGCTGCTGGTACCTGAGTGGAGGTATTTCTATATAAATACCAGCTTGATTCATCTGTTAGTTTGCAGGGTTTGTATTAAGTTACAACCTGCTTTATTTTTGTCTGCCAGCTGGACGCTAGCTGGGACCTTTACACCGGTAAGTGCTGTTTATTATTGTTATTCTACAATAACAAACGCCAAGAATGAATATATGAAAATAATGTATTAACGTAATAATACAAACTGGTAAAGCAGGTTAGTAGTTCCAGGAATAGGTGTTAGTAGCAAAATATATATACAGTCTTTGATATTGAAGTATCGCTGTATGACTTCTTACTGAGTCTACGTGCTTGCTCACTGTGACTCCTACGACGCTGTTACCTCACCCTCACTCTTCCGGTTACCTACAACCTTTTACTCTGTCACTCTGGACTCGACTCTTCGGTCTTGCTCTCTCGGGTCTTCACGTAGCCGTAGTATATGTATATACTGGGTGAGTCCATTTGTATAAAAAGGGGAGAAACCCCTCAACAGTCTCCTCATCACTTAATATGATCTTTATTACATCAATTAATACTTACCTGGCACATGTGAGAGAGTATCCCCAAAACGAGGCTATGCCCGAAGGACAGAGTCTCGTCTTGGGAAACTGACTCCGTTTTTACGTGGTCTATAGGGAATTTTTGCGCGAACCTACGGACTCGGATACCCAACTTTAAAACTCGGCCTTGTGTCACATCTTGAACCGTGAGGCAGTGGGTAAATAATTATTACGTCAATTAAGTTTCATAAGATGATGTCAATATTAAGTGATGAGGTGAAACCGCATTAAATTAGGACCGCTTGCGTCTTTCGGTTTGTTGACAGTTTGATTAATTTGTTTAATGGTATATCAACACTTTATGGGTCATTTAATGCCAAAATTTAATTTTACTGGGAGTTTTGAAGTAATAAAAATATGATATATGTTATTCTGCTTTCACAATTGAATAGATGGTAAATGATACTCAGCTTTTGTTCATATACATGTTTGTGTGGACATAATTACTAGAGGCAGTGATATGTATGTTTTATGTTGTAATTTTGTTGACGTTATATTTTGGAATACAGTTTGATTTCTTGAAAAAATGGTGGGATATTATATTGATTAATGTCATGAAAGAGTTCTTTCATCTTGGTTATTTGCCATGGGCTATCTAATGCCGAAATCTAAATATTTTTAACACAATTTTATGGCTTCAGCTACAGGTAAAATATATTGTTGATCATTTTGCTATAATATATATTGTTGGTAAGTTTTTATATAAAAATTTATTCCTGTTATGTTTACTATAAAAATATATTTTTTATACTTTCTTGGAGTTTTGTTTTTTTCTTTGGGGCTTCACTATTTGCCCATAGTTGGGACCCTAACAGGTGCTACCACCGTGGGTTAAGGTGGACCTGCGAACACCAGGAATTAAGATGGAGTCCAATACTACACAAAACATCTAATCTCCTGATCAGAGGCCTTGCTGCCGACTGTAGTTTATCGTCATACACAAATCTGTGCATGATGAGATAGATAGATAGATAGATAGATAGATAGATAGATAGATAGATAGATAAGAATAAACTGAGATAGATAGATAGATAGATAGATAGATAGATAAGAATAAACTGAGATAGATAGATAGATAGATAGATAGATAGATAGATAGATAGATAGATAGATGAGAATAAACTGAGATAGATAGATAGATTATGCATATTAATTTCATTTTTTTATTTATTTACGATAATATATGTTTAACAAGTTATTTTGTTTGTTTAAGATGATTGCCGTCAACAGAATATGATAGCAAGCTATCTACCTAGAGAAAGAGTTGAACAGATAGATAGATAGATAGATAGATAGATAGATAGATAGATATGAAGAGACCAAGATAGATAGATAGATATGAAGGAACCAAGATAGATAGATAGATAGATAGATATAGATGAAAATAAACTGAGATATGAACAGATAGATAGATAGATAGATAGATAGATAAGAATAAACTGAGATAGATAGATAGATAGATAGATAGATGAGAATAAACTGAGATAGATAGATAGATTATGCATATTTATTTCATTTTTTTTATTTATTTACGTTAATATATGTTTAACAAGTTATTTTGTTTGTTTGTTTCAACAGATGATTGCCGTCAACAGAATATGATAGCAATAGATAGATATGAAGAGACTATCTACCTAGAGAAAGAGTTGAATAGATATGATAGATAGATAGATAGATAGATATAGATAGATAGATAGATAGATAGATAGATAGATGAGAATAAACTGAGATAGATAGATAGAATAGATAGATAGATTTATTTACGTTAGATATGAAGGAATGATTGCCGTCAACAAGATAGATAGATAGATAGATAGATAGATAGATAGATAGATAGATAGATAGATAGATAGATGAGAATAACCTGAGATAGATAGATAGATAGATAGATAGATAGATAGATAGATAGAAGAAAATAAACTGAGATATGAACAGATAGATAGATAGATAGATAGATAGATAGATAGATCCATCCATGTATGGATGAATATTTACGCGCTCTTTTCTATTTTCTTCGGATAATCTCAGTTTTTGGTGCAAAGCTTTTTGTGGATTATCCTCTCTTTCCAGGATTTGAAGAATCACTTGGAGAAACACTCTTAATATCACGAAAGAGTTTTTTCATGTTGCTTCTTTGCTTGGTTGATTTTGTTCAACGGCACATCAAACCCATATAACCTATTTAATGTCAAAATCGAATTATTTTGAACGCAACTGCATGTCTTCAATTACAGATAAAATCTCTTTTCTGCTCATTTGGCTCTAAGATGTATTGTTAGTAATTCGACTATAAAATATATTATTGATCATTTTGTTATAACTAATTATTGTTGTTTTACTATGAAAATGCATTTTGATACTTTCATAGTGTTTTTTAATCGCTACCACCCCGATCAAGGCAGTATACCCCCTTGCACACAGGGGGTTTACAGCGTGTCAGGGGATTAAAAACAGAAACATTAATAATGAGTAGAAATAGCAATCAGGAAAACAGTAGACAGCGATTGATATTGCATTTAAATTTTGGCAGATTAAAGTTGGCTGTAAAGCATGGAGCCAGAAAGGATATCTACAAGCGAGAACTGCGAGATAGAAAATGTTAGTGTTATGGTCCGGTTCCTTGTACAACGGTGATAGTCCGAGGAAGAACCAATAAAGAAGAACTCGAACACGGATATGGAATAACACAGATATATTACAAACAGGAATATATACAGAGAAGTAGAAAGTGTTAGTACGAACAATCAGGTTTAGTAGTAATTCTCTGAACGCGACTGTTTCGGACTGCCTCTGACTCGACTGACTGACTCGCTCGCTCTGACTGACAAACTGCTGACGGACTTCACTTCAGATTGAACAGTATTTAGTCGCCCCCCACCTCCACAAGGGCATCATGTGGCACAAGGCCGGTTTAACGTGGGATCTCCGAGCCCGTGGTATCGGCCAAAAATATGCCCTTTGAACCCGTATAAATAACAGTGGGTGAGCATTTTATAAATTAAACAGGTTGTGGGGAGAGCTGAATTAATAAGTTTGATAGTTTATACACACACAATTTAATGAAGCAAATTAAAATGCATTGCAGGTATAAAATTCAAAATCAAATAAATAAAAGAGTAATTAAAACAGACATTTCGACATTTCTGAAAATTTTGTATCGGGGTGTTCACTATTCGTCTATAACTGAGACCCTAACAGAGGCTACTACCTCGGATCAAGGTGGACCTGGGAACAGCAGCAATTAAGAGGTGGTTCCACGCTCCTCAAAACCTCCAGGCTCCTAGCCTTGCTGCCGGACGTATTTTATCGTCTTACCCAGGAATTCGATCCAGGAAGTATTATTACCTAATGATTATCTACTGATTTAATAAAATTAGCTGATGTTGAGCACGAAGCCTAAATTGAATCGCTGCTGTTGAACATTTTAACGAGAAGACGAGACTTTATGTCTCAGCCATAACATTATGTTCTGGACTATTCTAATCATGGCTTACAAACTCATGTAAGACATGTTACTATCAGATTTACATTATGCTGTTAATATTGCTCGGTTAGATTCAACTTTCGAAGAAGTTACTCAGCATATCTTTGAAACTGAACGACATTCCAGCTAAGTAGGACTGAAAATCAACTACGCAAAAACAAGAGTCTGATGGCTTAAGATCAACAACACCGACATCAAAATGCCATGGACAGACCATCGATCATTTTTCTTAATTTCACCCTCACCTAACAATAAAGAAACAAATAGTTACTGGGTGTAAATGAATATGAGATATAAAACGTAGTATTAAGGAAAGAGAACAACAAAAGAACATGAAGACAGAAGATAACGATTGACATTGTATTTCAATTTTTGAAAATCAAAGTTGACTGAAAGGCAAGAGAATTCCACAAACGAGAAATACGAGAGAAGGAACTGTTGGCATAGAACTTGCGGTTACATCTAGCCATTTTAACAGTAAAATAATAAGATCGTGCAGCCAATCCAGTACGGTGGCATTTAAAATCGACGGACGAAGATAACTCATCAGAAAAATTACAATGAAAATATTTATAGAAAAGGCACTGGGAAGCTACGTAACGGTGGTGAGAAAGTGACTGAAGCCGAGATGCCAGGTCAGGACCAATAACATTGCAGATTCTTATTGGGACTTTATCAAGAATCTCTAAATACATAGCAGAAGCACCAGAACAAATGTGACAGCAGTATTCGATGCGTGTACAAATGGTGGACTTATAAATGTGTAAGATAGATTCTGGCGTGAAAAAGGTTAGCCCGAGAAAGCACAATGAGTCACTATCCTGAAGGTTAGCATCAGCCATACTGATGGAAAGTAAAAAAAGGTTCCCTCAGTAGGATTAAAAAAGAGAAATTTCGTTTCGGAGGCGTTAAAATTAATAAGCCATTGTTATCGAACTCCTGCTAGATAATTTCCCCATAACCATATATATTCTGAAACTACATCACCCAGGGTACTTGGATAATCATATTTCACCTTGACCAAAGGGGTTCATTTCTCACTGGGTGCTTTAGTGCATTGGTATAAATCAATGCTAACCTCTGTAACTACCTATCAAGTATTATGAATATTTTCCACAAGTACCAATAATTGTTATTCGATCTCAGGTAAAAAGTATGTATTTCAAATGATCTTTAAACGTACGTAGTAAACCGCTAATCTTTGTCTATACACTTAAGTATAAAGCCGATCAAATTTTATTTACAGGCTCAAGTATAAATCCGACTATTTTTTTCTGTAGTCTCATGTATAAATCGGGCAATCTTTGCCTAGAGACTCAAGTATAAACCCAATCAAATTTTACCTACACACTCAAGTATAAATCCGAATATTGTTTTCCTATAGACTCAATTATAAAGTCAAACAATCTTTGCCTACAGACTCAAGTATAAATCCGACTATTGTTTTTCTATAGCTTCATGTATAAAGTCGGGCAATCTTTGCCTACAAACTCAAGCGTAAAGCCGATTAAATTTTACCTAGAGCCTCAAGTATAGATCCGACTATTGTTTTCCTGTAGACTCATGTATAATGTCGACCAATCTTTGCCTATAGACTCAAGTATAAAACTGTTCAAATTTTACCTACAGCCTCAAGTATAAATCCAACTATTGTTTTCCTATAGCCTCTTGTATAAAGTCGGGCAATCTTTGCCTATAGACTCAAGTATAAAGCCGATAAAATTTTATCTAGAGCCTCAAGTATAAATCCGACTATTGTTTTTCTATAGCTTCATGTATAAAGTCGGCCAATCTTTGCCTACAGTCTCAAGTACAAAAACGTGATCAATGTTTACGACACATTCATATATAAACGCGACCAATGTTTTCATAGATTCTCAATATACGTCTCTTCTTTATCTATGGACTCAAGTGCCAAATGTTTAACAAAAGACACAAATATATAAACGACACATGTTTACCTGTAGACTCAAGTATATAAACAACCAATGTTTAGACTCAAGTATAAACGCGGCAAATGTTTACATATAGACACAAGTATAAAACAGATAGATTTTTACCAAGAGACTCAAGTATAAACCCAGCCAATGGCTACATATAGAATTGAATATAATAAAGACAGATTCTAAGTGTAAATAACGCAACAAGAGTTGATAGGTTGCAAAATCCAGCAATTTTTTTTCCTATCATTATCTCAGTACCGTACTTTTTATTTTTTTATCTCCCTGTCTGTTCGAATCTCTTTTATCGTTTATACGATCATTTTCAGCAAACCAATCTTCAATTAAAACTTCAAATGCGATTTCGTTCGCTCGATGGCACTGAGACAGTTCTTTCTAATCGAAAATTCTTGCGTACATTTTGTTTTAAGCAACATCCTCATTTACTTGTTGTTTTTTTTTGGGGGGGGGTGTCTTTGTTTTTTGTTTTTTGCCTTGATACTGTTGAATTACTACATAAGCAAGTCTGGTTGTCGTTTACGTTTTTCCTTGGTGGACTTTGTTTATTTTTTTATTCATTTTCTTTTTTTTTTTTTGTTTTGTTTTTTTCATTAATGGTGGCGACGAAAAAAACTTTATCTTGAGCTGTATTTGTTGAAACAAAGAAACACATTTCTGTATACGGAACAGAATTAAATCAGGACTTTATTAAAAATGTCTGTTCACGACTTAATGTGCTGCTTCTCTTATATATATATATATATATATATATATATATATATATATATATATATATATATATAGCTGGCCACTTGTATATTAGGGCGGCTAGCCAATCCGTATTGCAGACGCCTGCTCTGTTGTTTATACTGCATTATGTTGGGCAGACCTTAGTTACAATTCATTGGGAAAGAGCATGTTATCTAGCGTGATCAACAATTTGAACAAGGCCAGCACGCTCATGCTCTCGGCCACGTGATAGGCATGCAGATAATTAGTTCATGGTTGTCGGAATGTCATACGTCGAACTCGACGGGAGAGTCCATCATATATATATATATAGACGATTGCATCTAGCATGAAACAGACTGTCGCCTCTAAGTGTTGACTTCTATGTTCACTTTTATATTTACACACGCTCTATCTCTGATATTGAGCACTTTATCCCATAAATATAGCACACCTTAAGACTATATTTCTTCATATATATATATATATATATATATATATATATATATATATATATATATATATATATATTATAGGCGCAGTACTTAGTGGAAAGTGCTCAATATCTATGATAGAGTTTACATATTCAGTTGTATGGATATTCATTTGTAACTCTGGGTTTCACGATTTGCGACCATCAAACAAAGTGGTTTATTTTTTAAACTGTGGATTTATAGGGTGACCCCCAAAAACGGGAATTTTTGAAGTGCCTATTGCCAGACATGAGCAAATGGCAACACTGCGAGGCAGTGGCCTTGAGCAAGTAAACATTTCGCCATTTAAAATTCAAGATGAAATTCACAATATCCCAGCTGAGATGTTGCAGCAGTCAATGAGGAATCTCAACAGCAGATTTCAAGAATGCATTCGTACAGGAGGACGCCATCTACAGGACGTAATTTTAAAAAAATGAAAATTCCATCATTGTTTCTTAAATGGCATGTTTTAAGGTTTCAATTACTATGAATAAAATATTTTTCTTCCATCACTCTTGGTTTTATTGCATTGTTAAAAAGTTCCTGTTTTTTGGTCACCCTGTATTTCTTTCATCTATTTCTTCTTTGATTTACACCTGTTTTTAAAACCTCTTAAGCTGTTTGTACCGCTTACATAAAACATTGTTTATTATTATTATTATTATTATTATTATTATTAATCATATTTCGCTGAGTATTTCATTAGATTTCTCTTGTTCTTAGGAACAATAGTAATATTTTACGAATCAGAAATAAATCCACTCCATCATCTATCTATCTATCTATCTATCTATCTATCTATCTATCTATCTATCTGTCTATCCCAGTCTCTTCCTTGCCCATCTATCTATCTATCTCAGTGAATTATCTATCTATCTATCTATCTATCTATCTATCTATCTATCTATCTATCTCAGTCTCTTCCTTGCCCATCTATCTATCTATCTATCTATCTATCTATCTATCTATCTATCTATCTATCTCATTCTGGTCATATATATCTTTCTCAATCTGTTCAGATATATCTATCTCATTCAGTTCATATCTATCGATCTATCTCAAAATAACAAAGTGTTTTTTTATCTTTAATGTCTACAACCGTTTTCTGCACCCGAATTATCTTCCTTGTACTGTTTGAAATACTTGTAGTGTTGTAATTTTGCAAAATATTGTAGTATTGCTGAAAAATAGCACAAGATGCAATCTCCATTACAATAGACATTAAATCCAAACTTGAATTAAAGAATGTAATTATTCATTGAAATGAAAATTATAATAAATTTCTTGCATAAACATATGTTGTAAATTGTAGGTGAAACACACCAATACAATAACAGAGAAATGTTTTATTCATTACTATAAATAGAATATTTTTTCCATCACTCTTGGTTTTATTGGATTGTTAAAAAGTTCCCGTTTTTTGGGGGTCAACCTGTATTTATGCTTATTTCTATGTGGAGGAGTAAAGAAACACAAACATAAATAAATCCAATTAAATACATATATATATATATATATATATATATATATATATATATATATATACCAGTTTTTCTGATGATTTCAAAAAGCGTGCAAGCCACGATTACAAACTAATATCTATACAACAGAACATGCATACTCCTCCACAGACAGACTGTTTTACAGGTCATCAGTGTGGCAAGACATCCGATTCTGCCAACCAGGAACGAAACTTGTCTGATTTGGCATCAGGCGGAGATTTTACCCCAAAGCCTCTGGCGTACGCTAGGAATTATTGTGAATTAAGACGCATTTATTTGTAGACAAATACGCCAGTGACTGGGAGAACTCAATTCGTGTTAACGAAGAGTCTTGCATCAGCAGTAGTAATAGTCACATTTTACAAAGTCATTTTTCTCCCCGAAGAGCTCAACAGAAATAATTTTTTCAGGAACAAGTATATATATATTGTCATCCACAAAGTGTTTCTCAAATAACACTAACATTCAACCAACATTAAATCAAATACAGTTATAAACCTAACCTTCTAAAATTAACATTGGAATCTGACAACGCCAAGCCAGCTAAAAACAAAATGTTAACTGCTAAACAAAAAAAAACATAAAAAAAGGGAAAGAGAAGTTATATAAAAAAATATTTCCTTTTCCATTAAACCTTTAAGTTTAACAGATATTATTATTATTATTATTATTATTATTATTATTATTATCTTTGATTTCTGGAGTTTACACATTTCTTTCCGGGTCCCGCCCAGGGACCTAAGGTTAGAAATGGCATCATGACACTTTTCAATGACAAAAAAAAATTACATAGATAGAGCCCTTCGTAAAGTGTGGGCTGTACTTGTCAGAACAATTTTTTGTATCTCCTTGAGGCATGGACTTCCAGGAATCCCTTCAATTAGTCTACTGCAATCCAGAAACGATTGATCATCTTATTATTATTATTATTATTATTTAAACAAGAAATAAATATATTTTGAAAATTTTATAAAATTCCAGAATATTCTGGAATATTAACCTAATTTTAAATCGTCTCTGGAAATAACATAGCTACATTATCTTTTGACACTCAAAGCCGGAAGATAAAGAAACGAAAAAGGAATAAAGTGAAAATATAAGGAGATAAGGAAATTATGAAAAGAATAAATAACAATAACTATGACATCCTACACATGTGCACATACGCACACGTATAGACACACATGTTCTCATACGAACACGTATAAACACACATGTGCACATACGCGCACACACACACACACACACACACACACACACACACACACACACACACACACACACAAAGAAAAATCAGCCAATCACAAAAAAAAGACATTATTTTTAAACTTAATATAAAAATAACGTAAATGAGAAAAATGACAGATATCTCCTGACGAATGAACCGAACAATTACACAATTTTGCTACAGGTGTTTCCGGTCTCGCGACCTTCATCAGGCAAAGAGTGGATATATTCACGTATTATTAAATGGAATTAATTTTTCTAATTTTTTTTTATGCTAATATTCTCGATATTAGACATTCTCATTTTGTATGTTAGTGACCCAAGTGTCTTCCTTGAATTGGAAGTGAAAATGTTCTGCGTGAAGGTTTATATAACAATCAAGACTGGTCCGAGAAAGGGTGAATAAAATATCTATATTCTTATCTTTTATTAACCCCTGTGTGTTCTTAGATCTATTTCGATTTTTTGTTTTTTGTCAGCATACGTACGCATACGCATATTCCCTCTCCATATATATATATATATATATATATATATATATATATATATATAGTTGTATGAATATGAGTTTGTAATCCTGGGTTTCACGCTTTTGCAATTATCAGACAAACATAAGTGATGATCCCAAAACCACGAGACAGTGGTCAGGGGAGGAAAAGCGCGAGACAGGAGACAGCGGAGGAAAAGCACGAGACAGGGTTCATCGAAGGAAAAGCTAGAACCGGGGGTCAGCAGAGGAAAAGCACGAGCCAGGGGTCATCGGAGGAAAAGCACGAGCCAGGAATCAGCGTAGGAAAATCACGAGACAGGCGTCAACGAAGGAAAAGAACGAGCCAAGGGTCAGCGAAGGAAAAGCACGAACCAGGTGTCAGGGGAGGAAAAGCACGAGCCAGGGGTCAGCAGAGGAAAAGCACGAGACAGGCGTCAGCAGAGGAAAAGCACGAGCCAGGGGTCAGCAGAGGAAAAGCACGAGACAGGGGTCAGCGAAGGAAACGCACGAGCCAGGGATCAGCAGAGGAAAAGCATGAGACAGGGTTCAGCGAAAGAAAAGCTAGAACCGGGCGTCAGCGGAGGAAAAGCACGAGACAGGATTCAGGGGAGGAAAAACATGAGACACGAGTCAGCAGAGGAAAAGCATGAGACAGGGTTCAGCGAAGGAAAAGCTAGAACCGGGCGTCAGCGGCGGAAAAGCACGAGACAGGGTCAGGGTAGGAAAAGAACGAGACAGGAGACAGCGGAGGAAAAGCACGAAACAGGGTTCATCGAAGGAAAAGCTAAAACCGGGCGTCAGCAGAGGAAAAGCACGAGCCAGGAGTCAGCGTAGGAAAAGCAAGAGACAGGGGTCAACGAAAGAAAAGCACGAGCCAGGAGCCAGCGGAGGAAAAGCACGAGACAGGGATCAACGAAGGAAAAGCACGAGACAGGGTCAGCGGAGGAAAAGCACAAGACAGGGGTCAGCGAAGGAAAATCACGAGCCAAGGGTCAGCGAAGGAAAAGCACGAGCCAGGGATCAGCAGAGGAAAAGCCCGAGACAGGGATCAGCAGAGGAAAAGCACGAGACAGGGGACAACGGAGGAAAAGCACAAGACAGGGGTCAGCGGAGGAAAAGCACGAGCCAAGGGTCAAGGGAGGAAAAGCACAAGACAGGGTTCAGTGAAGGAAAATCTAGAACCGGGCGTCAGCGGCGGAAAAGCACGAGACAGAGTCAGGGGAGGAAAAGCACAAGCCAGGAGACGGCGAAGGAAAAGCACGAGACAGGGGTCAGCAGAGGAAAAGCACGAGGGTGAGGAGATCTTAGAGTAGGGGAAAGTTTATAAATAATATATAGCTGGGGGGAGATATAGAAATTAGAATTAGTTATACTTTCGACATTTGAAGAGTCCGAGGAGAGTGAATATTATGGAAATATAGTGGCTAATTAATTCTATATTATAGAAATGTACAAATTCAAGTTTTCAACATATATAAATATATATCCACATACAGACAGTTTCATCAGTGTGGCTAGAAATCCGATTGCTTCATGACGAGATCAAAACTCTACCGGTTTATATATATATATATATATATATATATATATATATATATATATATATATAAGCTGCCTGCGTGCAATCTGTGGAGTTAAGCTTCAAGATAGGACATCTAACGTAGACCTCTTTAATAGGTGCAATACTGGAGGAATTGAGACTTTTATCATACAGTCTCAGTTACGGTGGAGTGGTCATGTCTTGAGAATGTCTGATGACAGGATACCCAAGATCCTAATGTACAGCCAGTTAGATCAGGGCTACAGGAATGTAGGACGCCCATGGCTAAGATACAAAGACAAGCTGAAAAGCAACTTGTCAGCAGTTAATATACCACATAACACTCTTGAGCGCTTAGCTTTGGAACGGGTAGAATGGAGGTCAACGTGTTTTAGTGGACTCTGCTTGTCTGAATCATCTTCAAGAAGCGAGAGCAATATCTAAAAGGTCAACCAATCTATCTGTGATCTCATCTCACAATCGTTGCACTTGCTCCATATGCGACCTCCTTTGTAAATCACTAGCGGGTCTTAAATGTCACTTAAGATTAGCGCATAAACTTTCATAACTGAATCAATAAGCTGACAGATCCTAATTCGTCGAAACCGACGGGAGAGTCCATTATATATATATATATATATATATATATATATATATATATATATATATATATATATATATATGATGGCAATAGATTCAACATACACTTACTTGCAGTTTGAACAGTATTGTTAATTGATTTACTGTTGTTTACCATAGAATTTTATTGTTATTAACCAAAATTATCCAAAACCATTTCAATTAATTAATAAATTTCTGGACTCCTGATTAATTAATTGTCTTAATTGTTATTATAAGTAACTGTATAGTTACATTATTGTCATCCAGCTCTTCGCAATAATTGAGCCTTCTGGTAGCCGGTAATGCATATATCTTGTATATAATGTGTTAAAATTTCCCTTTCTTCCTAGCGTGTGCTGTCAAATCGGTCGGGTTTCGATCCTGGCTTGAAGCAATCGCATGTCTAGCCACCCTGATTAATCCATATCGGTCTCAAGTGTATATTCCCAGTGTGAATAGAAAAAGAAAATGAGAATTTGTCTGATCGACGTGAGTTGATAGGTCAAGCTAGATACTATCGTTATGAAGATCTTGAAAATGTATGCCAAACGTCGAGAACTGACTGAGTTGACCGCTAAAAGTGTTCAATTGAGGGCGTTGAATCTGAAAATGACCTTACTTTTTCTTGGTTAGCTACGGTTTTTCCTGTACATAAATTCCTCATTTTGGGGAAAAAAAAAACATTTTTTTCATTTGTTTTCTGTATATATATATGACATTGACTGATGGCAACATTTCTCAAAATAAAATCGTAGAAACCACTCAATTCGTATTTAAACTAACAAATATTTGTCTGATTATTGAGAAATACTATTTTTTGCAATAACAGCCAGACCCCCAAGTCTTTAAAAATAACACGATTGAATATACCAAGACCAACAATTATTTTCATCAAATCATTTAATAAACTAACAGCAGAAATAAAACCTCCGAGAAGATAAGAACTATGGTAAAAATTTTCTCTTTCTTGATTGTCTGTCATGTTCAATGTTATTTAAGTCCTTTTTGATACTCCAGCAGTATCATGTACAATTGAATAGGTGCATTCAATTAGGATATCTTTAATTGGAGTTTCTTTCCAACTGTGTAAACAAAATGCCCTCAATGTGCTTGGTTTCCTTCCGTAGTGAAGGGATAAATTTATGAATATTAAACAGAAGTTTTTAGGGTTTCATTTTTTATGTCACCTTAATTATCAGGTTTGCTAAAGTCTATTACTGATAAAGTTTATCAGTTAATTTGAATTTAGACGATAAATTGGAAAAATCGGTACGTCTATTTTTAAATTTTTGACTCAAAAATATTTTTTCTTATAAAAATATTTTATTTCCGGTGGCTGACATAAATTTCTCGGACTACCTGAAAATTGATGGTTTTCTACGACTTAACTAAATTTTGCGATCAGCAAAGATCGTAAATTGATCTTTTTTTTTCAAAAATGAGCAATTTCAGTACGGCAAAAACAGTAGCTTACCATGAAAAACTAAGGTCATTTTCCGAATCCGCACAATCAAATTAGCTAAAAAACGTTTTTCTTTCTTGGCACCAAAAATCGTGTCGACCAGTGTAATTTGAAGGTCGCGACGGTCAACAGAGGGTGTATTTGTAGGTAGAGCGACAGTGTGCGTGTGTGTGCGTGTGTGTGCGTGAGTGTGTGTCTATGTGTATGCGTGTGTGTGTGTGCGTGCGTGTTTTTGTGTGTGTGTCTATGTGCATGCGTGTCTGTGTGTGCGTGCGTGTTTTTGTGTGTGTGTCTGTGTGCGTGCGTGTGTCTGTGTGCATGCGTGTGTGTGTGTCTGTGTGCATGCGTGTGCGTGCGTGTGTGCGTGGGCGCCTGTGCGCGTGCGTGTGTGTCCGTGCGTCTGTGTGCGTGCGTGCGTGCGTGTGTGTGTACGTGAGTGTGTGTGTCTGTGTGTGTGTCTGTGTGCGTGTGTGTGTGTGTGCGTGTGTGTGTGTGTCTGTGTGTGCGTGTGTCTGTGTGTCTGCGTGTGTGTGTGTGTGTGTCTGTTTGCATGCGTGTGCGTGCGTGTGTGCGTGTGTGCGTGTGCGCCTGTGCGCGTGCGTGTGTGTCCGTGCGTCTGTGTGTGTGTGTGCGTGCGTGTGTGTTTGTGCGTGAGTGTGTGTGTCTGTGTGTGTGTCTGTGTGCATGCGTGTGTGTGCGTGCGTGTGTGTGTGCGTGCGTGTGTGTGTGCGTGCGTGTGTGCGTCCGTGTGTGTGCGTTTGAAAACAAAAGACAGAACGAAAAATGACTTAATAAATGTCAGAATCAATAAAGAATGCGAAATTCTATACACACTGCCAGCCAGGGAGTCAAAGAGACGGGTATCTATCATAGAATTAAAGAATGGGATGCTTCCCATAGTTTGCAGAAAATGGTGCCTGCAAGAGATTTATAGAGAATGGTGCCTGCTGTAGACTCATAAAAAGGGATGCCTCCAATAGAGTCAAAGCGAGTGGTGTCTGCCATGGAGTGACAAAGAAGGATGCTTGCAAAAAGGATTACTAATACAGAATCATAGACATGAATAACTACCATGAAGTCATATACACTGATGTCTACCATGGGATGAAAATGTGTGTTGCCTACCAAAGATAAGAATGACTAACATAGTAACACAAAAATTGATTGCTATCATGAAGACACGCCGTCAAATTATAAATTAATATATCAGGCATGGAGGGAGCTTAGAGAAAAGGTTACGATAGACTCATTGAAGGGATTCCTGGTAGCCTATGCCTTAAAGAAATACAAAACATTCTACTCACAAGCACAGGTCACACATTACGAAGAGCTTTAGCTGTGTAAAAACAAATGCTCAGTAGAAAAAGTCATGATGTTATTTCTGACCTTAGGTCTATGGTTGGGACCCGGAAAGAAATGAATATATACCAAAAACGAGAGAAATAATAATAATAATAATAATGATGAAGGAAGGAAGCGAATGTCTTATAATCTTAACAAAAACAAGAAACAAATTTCACGCATTATTCGAGTATAAAGCAATGCCATCGATACAATCATTTTTCTTCGGATATCCGAGTCATCACTATTTACATTATTCGGACTAATGTCCTCATCTTTGTCGCCATATTTATTACAACGTTTCGGCCTTTCAGTATCCGTCTATATTTCTGAGATGAGGTATTATGTACACTGTTTACATTATTCGGACTATTGTCCTCATCTTTGTCGACATATTTATTACAACGTTTCGCCCTTTCAGTATCTGTCTATATTTCTGAGATGAGGTATTATGTACACTATTTACATTATTCGGACTATTGTCCTCATCTTTGTCGCCTTATTTATTACAACGTTTCGGCCTTTCAGTATCTGTCTATATTTCTGAGATGAGGTATTATGTACACTATTTACATTATTCGGACTATTGTCCTCATCTTTGTCGCCATATTTATTACAACGTTTCGCCCTTTCAGTATCTGTCTATATTTCTGAGATGAGGTATTATGTACACTATTTACATTATT